GTAACTATGTTGGCAACACAAGGCTTTTCTACATAAAAAATTTGAAAGCATTGACAATTTTACATTGTATTGCCAACATAATGTCATTTTGACTTTTATCTTTAAAAAAAAAACACATTTTATGTGCGAATCTTTTTTTCCATTATAACTTTAAAATTTACAACTCGCTGCAACACAAAACAACAACAAAACAAATAACGGTGGAAAATGTGGAAATCAACCAAATTAAATACAATGAAGTATAACATTTGGCGACAAGGTGACGCAAAATCATACTACGTGACGTCATCCAGATTCGCGCGCATTTAAGGTCGTTTGAAATGCTTTTAATACGCGCGAAACTTTAAACATTTTTCACCAAGTTATTATTGAGTTTTAGAAAATAATATTTTGGGAATACTCTTTTAAGGCATAAATAAATGATTTGAAAAAATAAAAAAAAATTGTAAAGTTCCCTATTGATTATTATTTGAATACGCAAAGAGATTAAAATCCAAAAATCTTGTCTAGGCCAAGCATTAATTAATAATATGGCCACAATGCTAATTTTATGAAATTGTCATTAGCTTCACTGAACGTGGTTGAACTAGTCAATTTAATTATATCGTCCTCCAGTTTTCCAGTAAATTATTTTCATACAGTCCATTTTTTGAGTTATTCATCACGATCATAACAAATCTAATACCAATTATTTTTGAGGTTTTCTTGCTACTTCTCGCAGAAATGCTTGGATCAAAATCTACTGTAGATCGATCCTGAAGAAGAGTCTCCCCGGCCCCTACTATCCTGAGAGTATTTTCCTCAATGCCAGGACCAGAAACGAATACACAAGCAAAGCGAATACATAAAGGCCTAGACTCTAACAATGTCACTGAGGACTGAATGACCTTCCCGCAATAGTACTGCTGAGCTAACAGCTCCACTATGCAGGATTTTCACTGATCCTGTATGTCCTGTATGATATACAAGACTGCATGCTTTCCTTTTTTTTATAGAGGCAATAGTCATTTTTGTTCAAAAACCACTAACCAGCGAAATAAAAACAGCGGTTGTACCAAATTAAAGTTTCTTTTCTGAATCAATACATATTATAATTAAAGAATCAACTCTGTCGTTTAAGTACATAGTTAAAAAATGTAAAGCTATACGTTAAGCGGTGACTATACTTCTTACCTATATATAAATCAAATATGTATGTACTGATAGTCAGCTTTTATATTCCATATCAAGTAAAAAAAACTTTTGTATAATTGGACGATTTTTTGTATTTTCAATAAACATTTTATACTTATACTTGCGTATTTTATATTTATACCTATTGTATCTAGTAATTAATTATCTGCTTTTTGCATGAAGGCTTTAGGTCTTCATGAAAATATAATAGGTAGGTACATACTTATTTTTAAGGATTCAAAATCATAAATTATAAATTATAATTACAACTTAAATCATAATTTTATTTATTTTGATTTATATTTTCTTAAAACAACACGCCGCCACTGGTAGTGGCAAAATCCACATGCGTCAGTGTTGCCATTTTATAGGCCTATCTCTCTCTTACTTATGTGATGGACTAAAAGATGATTGATTGTAAACATTGGGCGATTTCTAAATGGCATGTTTGGTCTCTAGTTTTATTATTAGTCTGAGGTTATAATAGTTCAGTAGGAAATAAAGTAAATAAAGATTCATGACAAAAACAAATTCTTTCCATTTAGGGAAGAGTTGATATTTATGGGACTAGTTTTGCTTCGAGGAAATAAACTTGTGATTCCAGAAACGATGTACTGAAATTAGCTCACGAAGGACATCCAGGTGAAACAATGATAAAGAGTAGGCTAAGAGCAAAGGTGTGGTGACTACTTATTGATAGTCAAGTGGAAAAATTTGTAAAATCATGCCAAAACTGTTTGCTAGTTACTCTATCAGATAAACCTCCAGAAAACAGTGATTTCCGGACGGGCCTTGGCAATGCATAGCGATAGACTTAATGGGATCACTACCTAACCAGGAACAATTGTTAGTCATTATAGACTACTAATACTACTTCTCAAAATATCAAGAAACGAAATTTCTTAGAACAACTACATCATCTGTAATTATAAATCAACTACTAGAGGCATTTGCACGTCTTGTAATCCCCAAATCAATCAGAGCTGATAGAGGACCTCAATTTGCGAGTAAAAAGTTTAAAGAGATTTGTTCTTAGAACAATATTACCCCAGGGAAATTAGACCAAAAAAGGGCGGCCTGCGGAATCACGCCGAACAAGCTGAATTTTTGCAGAGACCTTCGTTTTGACGTTCTAATGAAGCACAAAAAATCGAATATGCCTACCCTTGTGCGTCTTAAGATATCGAAGGACAAAGGTCACGAAAATCGTTTTTTGCGAAAATCTCGCTTCCAGTGCATCTGCCGTCTAGCCCAAAACAAAACTTACGTAAAATAGTATTTTCTACAAAATTATACATATACATTTTTTTTTCTACAAACGTGTTAAAAATGCAATTTTTAACACCCCTCCGTAGCATTAAAAATGTTACTTTTTTTACTACTAACCTGAGAAATTGTCATTATTCAATCTATTTTTCTAGGAAAAAATTGAATTTCTCTCCCTAGGTGAATAATGAAAATAATGAAAAAATACCTAGGTTAATAATGAAAATGACGTCATGACGCAAGGATATTGTCATGTTTCTATTGGTTCAATTTCATTTCCATACGTCAATTTGAAAAAAAATACAGGTTTCTGTAGGTACATAGGAAGTTATCATAAGCTGTTGATAGAGGGCAGCACTTTCAAGAGGGCGTTCAAAAAAAATAATTGGAGCACAGATTTTAAACAAATTTTTCATTTTCTACTAGCAGTAGTAAAAAAAATTCTATATATTCCTCGGTAGAGAAAGTCATTATATACCTCACTCATTATAAACCTCGGCGCGAGCGCCTCGGTTTATAAAAGCGCTCGGTATATAAGGACCAACTAGGTATATAATATACTATTATCGCACTAGTGCCATAAAGTCTTTATAGCACTAGTGTTAAAAATGAAACATCAAATTTTGAGAGCGAACGTCAAAAAAAGTTTTTATTTTTAGTTATTTACATTGAAATTAATGGTGAAATTTGAACAACTGAGGTAGCCCGATTGGCCGCCTCATCTATATTTTTCAAGGGATCGATGCAAGCCTCTTTTTCCTCTGTATTTTGTTGCATTTTTAGCAAAAAGCATTACTGACCACGACAGACTTTCAAGAAACTGACAAGACATTTCATTACCTGCAAAACAAGGTGCTGGTTGTTTGGATTTTTTGACAAATGTCAATAATTTTATGTAGGAAATAGTTATTTATGATATAAGTGCTAAAAGTGACATTTTATTTTGTGAAAAGGGAAGTTTGGGACACGACGCCGAAGGCGGAGTGTTCCATCCCTTTGAACAAAATAAAATCACTTTTAGCACGAATATCATACACTATTTTTTCTAGAAACGCACTAAAAGTGATTACTTTTAGCACTAGTGCTAAAAGTAATCACTTTTAGCACCAGTGTCATAAAATGGCATTTTAGACACTGACAGCATCCGTTAAAAATGACACTTTTAGTGACGTTTGTAGAAAAAGATGCTTCCAATTTATTATTCATTTGAAATCCAATTTGTTATTGGTTATTGCTTTTTATTGCCGTTTCTAGAAAAAATATTGTATGATATTTGTGTTAAAAGTATTTTTAAGGCACTTATGTGAATTGCAGAATTCGCTTCGCTCAGTAGTATCACCTATTTTGAATATGCGCTCCCGCTTTATCACGCTATATTTCGGAAACGGTTGGTCGTATAAAAAAATGTATATGAACAATTTTATAGAAAATACTATTTTATGTAACTTTTGTTTTGAGTTTTTCGACGTCAGATGCACTGGAAGCGATAGTCAACCATCCAAGGACCTTTTTTTTCAGTTATACATGTAAACCCCATACTTTGTGAGTGGCTTGCTTACATCAAGTCCTACAACTTTTCCTCTACGACTTTTCTCGGAAATGGCACGTATGCGCGCAGGCGACTCGCAAACATTTTAGGGGTATCGGACTCCCCCAATTTGCCATTATTTTTGTCGGCCAAGTTGATTTCCGTGATTTAGACATAAAAATCAAACAGTATTCGTAAAATTAGATTTACCTACATGTATCAGGAAACATAGCTACGTCAGATCGACATGTTTGCGAGTCGCCTGCGCGCATACGTGCCATTTCCGAGAAAAGTCGTAGAGGAAAAGTTGTAGGACTTGATGTAAGCAAGCCACTCACAAAGTATGGGGTTTACATGTATAACTGAAAAAAAAGGTCCTTGGATGATTGACTACGAGATTTTCGCAAAAAAACGATTTTCGTGACCTTTGACCTTCAATATCTCAAGACGCACAAGGGTAGGCATGTTCGATTTTTTTGTGCTTCATTAAAACATCAAAACGAAGGTCTCTGCAAAAAATCAGCTTGTTCGGCCTCATTCTGGGAAAAACTTTATCACAATATACAATAGTGTTACAAACTTCAAGGGCAGATAGTATTCATGAAAATAATAAAAAAGTTCCCATGGATATAGGTTCGGAAACGCTTTGTTTCCAAGATACAGGGTGATACGTTTTTCAAAAAAAAATAGTTTTTTATTAATAGCCCAAAAGAACTTTAGCCGATTTCAATGAAATTTTCACGGTTTATTTCAACCATTATTACACATCTACTGGACCAATTAGATTTGATCCAGAATTCCCATAATCGTGTACTGTACTTTTGGAATGCCTTGGAAGAAAATACAGTGTCCGCCGCGAGTGTTAACGCGCTTAAAAATCGGTTGGATAAAAAACTAAGTAATAATGAAACAAGAATGACACACTGTAGTGCCTAAAAGTGAACAGATACTCTAAATAGAAGAAACAATAACTTCATCGGTTTTCACCGCCTGCTATTGGTCAATTACATGATTACATGATTCTTGTTCTTACCGGACTTTCTCGTCTAGGATGAGCCTCCAACGTATGAATAATCTTCAGTTCCCTCGGTTGCAGCACGTGTATCTTATTCCTGTATCCGCACCAGACCTTGTCTCCCACCACGGTAACTTGTCGTACCGACTGATGAGGCAAACCGATCTGTACCAAATGGTACCGGGACAGGTCCCACTCTCCATCTTGACTATTGCGTCTAAACACAGCCAATTGACCATTGGCTAACGCAACCACTACTCTACCATTCACATGACTAAAAATGGTTGGTTTTAGAAAACATATTTGTAAACCAAAAATTTTTACCTACACTATATTTATCACAGCATCTTTTAGCTTGACGGTAAGCAATCTTTGGGCCCAATTCGTTACAGAGGAGTGTACGTATATGTTGCCTTGTTCGTCTCCCAGCCACATTGTGGCCAAAACACTTGACATTACCTTTAAAAATTGATGAATTAAAATTAAAAACACGCTACAAGTGTTTACACTTACTTCTTGACTAACATTATTTGATGCAGTTTCGTTATTCTCTTCTACATTTTGACTATTGTTACTAGATTCTTCTTTGGCTTCATTGGTATCCTGCACAACTTCTTCTGTTACTTTTTGATTGATTGAATCGTCTTTTTCGATAAAACTAATTTTACCGAGCTACAAAATAATATGAAATTTTTTTACAAAAAAAAAATTAATGTTATTTACCACAGCCGCTTCTTCACTATCCTCCTGACTCCTAGTACTTTTAATTTTTATAGGATCGGTGGCGCTTTCAGGGTCACTGATTTTGGCGGGATTGGCAGTAATTTCGTGTGTGGTCTCTTCTTTTGACGTAGAAACTTCCTCCTGCACTTGAGGAGGACTTACCTCTATTATTGTATCATCGTCGTCGTAATCACTGGGGCTGGCACCTGGGACACTGCCAATGCAAAGCACGTGTTCCGAACATACAGTGAAACTCTTGAGCAATTCTGCTGGATTGTTAGCGTCAATAACCTGGAACAAGCAAGTTGTTGCGAAATTGATTCTACTGTATCCTACATAAGTATACAAGTATACAATATTTGATAGTATAACAGTATACTTACAGTAACAATACTTTCATGCTGCGTCGTAGTCACAATCCATACTATGGAAGACAGCTTGGTCTCTAGCAAAGCACCTTCCCGACTATTGCTTAGTTCCGTTTCCAAACTTTCCACTTCGTTTTCGTTATCAGCTGGCTCAGTAATTTTCGGTTCCTCCGAGTAAAAAACGCTACCGCCCACCATTAGCCCACCGTCCTTGGTGAAGCCGCCCATCAAATTGACACCGGCGGCGCACCATATCCGCATGTGAGGAGTGGTTTCCGCCAATGGCCTGCAATAAACGGGAACTGGCACTGGTACGCTGTTGGCGCTTTGTTGTTTGCTTGTCAGAATGGTTCCGGGTGATGGTACTTTGCCCGGTAGGCTCCAGCCGTAGGCGTGCAAACGGCCGTCGTCTTTTTTGACATGAGCACGAACCTGAAACAATAATATAGTGTCATGTAGAAGTCGGAAAATGTTTTCAAACTTTAAAGAATTTGTGCTGCAGGGCGACAGTTTTGATTTTCTATTGTAAGGTAAGGAGTGTAAATTGCTCAGTGGAAACCAACATAGAGTCTATTGCAACAGAAATGTGGGCAATCTAAAAATAGTGATCAATGATCCATCGACAAAGATGAAACTTTACTGAAAGAAAAGACTTAATGCTCTTAACTGGAATCACTTAATATAGATCTTTCAGAAAAAGTTCTCGCCTTGAAACAAAAGTCTCATGCTGAAAAGATACATCTTGAGGAAGCTGAAAAATCCCGTAAGGAAATGTTCTGCTCTATTGGAGTGGTCAAGCGGCTTTAAAACAGTAACATTTCTTATGTTGGTGAATTTGAGAGTTAAAAAATAAACGGCGTAGGATTTCGAATTTGGGCAATCCAAGTCACTTCTCCAGTATTATTAATTAAATTATTGATTTACCAACAAACTCAATGCTTCTGTATCTGTAAGTTTGGGAGGGTGGTATGTCACAGCACTTAGGTCACAGTAGGATCATTGTGCATTGTGAGTCTCCACAAGAGGAGGGGTCTTCCTAGCTCGTCATCCCGCGTAGCGATTTAAAGAAGGCGATGACGTCGCACAGTGTGAAATTTTGGCGTATTAGGTGGAATTAATTCGATTTCCCACATTTATCACAGGCCTATATTTATTTTGAAATTAATTCAGGTCATGTCCATTAACCAATTAGAAACATATGTTTATTTTCAAATTTAACATCATTATTTAAAAATGCGCCGTACCTTATCTCTCAGACAAGGCGCCCAAGGCGGTAAGAACATGCACAATATTTAGTATCTATTTAGTTGAATTTTGCAGGAGTTGTATTTAGAAGTGTTAAGTTTTGCCGAAAATCTGCATTGATAATAGTTTTCTTTAACACGTACATGGTAAGTTATCGTTTTTAAAAAATATCAACTGAAAAAAAATTTGAAAAGAAGTACATGCAGTTTACATATTAAAAACACTGATCTTTAAAAATTGTAATTCAGTATCTTTAAAAATATTTTTGATAAATAATACCAGATAATACCACTATAATTCTATATATTTTTAAATTCTCACTTTTTGGACCATATGTTGAAAAAAAAATTAGCTGCGGTAAGGTGCGTTTTATTTATATACGGTGTGTTCATTTTAAAACTTACCACTTCTATTATCTCAAGAGTTGAAAAAGTTTTCAAAAAAATTCCTGAAACACGTCAACTATAATTTAAAGAGGGATGAGTTTTTATGCTAAATTTACCCCCCAGTTCTCAAAGGGCCTATCACCTAGAAAATCTTAAATGGGAAGGGGGGGAAAATTATTTTGGTGCATGCTCGATCTTGTTCTATCAAAATCTCCTGTATACAAATAAAAAGACTCATATTTCATTAAAAAAGCCTCTAAAATATTTTTTTCCAGCTAAATCCCGAAAATTCCACACTGTGCCACAGATCACCTAATACAGATGCGAAAGTACGTATACTTGTCGTCGACGATATTCTGTGACGAAGCCCGGCTGCCAGCGCCCCGACGCATAGATAAAGATCGCCCGCGTCAGGACAATTAACGTGGCCGAGTGCGTGAGCATGTTCCAGCCTGTGTGTTTACATATTTTTGCGGGTAGAAAAATAGTTATTTATGCAACAAGTGTGTAAAGTGAACCTTTTTTCACGAATGTAAATTTTGACGCACGAGCCGAAGGCGAGTGCGACAATCACATGAGTGAAAAAAGGTGCTTTACGCACGTATTGCATACAAAATTTTTTCTACTACAAATCAAATATGTGTAAAAAAATAAATTTGGACAAATACTTTACGCACTAGTGCGTGAAGAATTTTTACTTTACGCACTAGTGCGTGAAGTAATTTACCAGAAAAATGCCAAATTGACAGTGTTGACATCTGTCATTGACATTACTTTACGCACTAGTGTGTGAAGTGAATTACTTTACGCACTAGTGCGTGAAGTGAAATTTTACATCTTCTGAATAGTGCGTAAAGTGAGTACTTTACGCACGGTAGTAGAAAATGGTTATTTATGCAACAAGTGTGTAAAGTGAACCTTTTTTCACGAATGCGAGTTTTGACGAAGGCGAGTGCGACAATCACATGAGTGAAAAAAGGAGCTTTACGCACGTATTGCATACAAAATTTTTTCTACTACCAATCAAATATGTTCAAAAAATAGATCTAGACAAATACTTCACGCACTAGTGCGTGAAGTATTTTCATTTCACGCACTAGTGTGTGAAGTAATTTACCAGAAAAATACTAAATTGACAGTTGTCAACATCTGTCATTGACATTACTTTACGCACTAGTGTGTGAAGTGAATTACTTTACGCACTAGTGCGTGAAGTGGAATTTTACATCTTCTGAATAGTGCGTAAAGTGAGTACTTTACGCACGGTAGTAGAAAAAATATTTTTTTGCTGTTTGGAAACCAATTAAAGAAATAATATTACATTATTGAGTTTCCGCATTTATATAATAAATATGTTCAAAATACATTGATGTGGCATTGATGCGGCCAGCCTATGTCTATCAAATTAATCTTGAACCACGAATTCGCAGCTCTTTCGCATCTGTATGTAAGTAATCTGTGACTGTGCGTCGCCGAGAACGGTACACAACATTAAAAAGTTGCCATTTTCCAAGGTTATTAAAATAAAATATTTTCGTTGTTGCCAAATTTCTATCAGTACCCGAAATACAGATTTGTAAAAATACCTGAAACTGTTTTTTTTTTTTACAGATTACCCTATTTCTCAGAAACTAATAGAAATTTGGCAACATTGAAATAGTCACAGTACGGCAGCAGCACAGTACTGCAGCTACCGCAGCGTTGCCAATACGAACCTCGATACCAACAACAATTTGTTAAAAACTTGAAAATAGAAAATGATGAAGTGAAGTTTCTACGAAAAGTTTGTGAGATTTATCTTGTCAATTTTGACCGTACAAACTAAGGTACTCAGCGCAATACAAGACGTGAAGGCTGAAATATACTTTTTTCTCCAAACGTCAAAAAAACGTCACTTTGTCAGCACCTGTCAAGATGTTAGAAATTTAATTTCTATGCTGGTAGGCAAATCCAACGGGTTAACACCTGTCGAGGTGGTAGAAATTTAATTTCCATGCTGCTAGGCAACCGCAGCGGCAGTAGAAGTACTTTTAGTGCCGCTGGAGCGGCAGCAAAAGTACTTTTAGTGCTGCTCGTACTTTTACTGCCGCTTAACCATTCATCTAGCCCCGAGCTTACCCCATTCGTTTGGAGAAAAAAATAGCGTGTTGCATACGGAGTAGAAGCACTTTAAACAAACATCTCATTGTTGCCGGTAAAGGTAAATAAATTAGAGTGAGGGAAATCGGTGAGGGAACAGTGGCGGTTCATACATGATTTTCTGGGAGGGGTAATGGAGGACGGGAAAATCATCAAGTGTCGGAACGTACCGCCGGAGGCGAAATTTTTTTTGGGGTGCCACGCCCAAATTTGAACCCGAAAGTCATTTAAAAAACAAGCTTGGGGCAAAAATGTATCCCGATGCCGTCAAAATAGCTATACAGGGTGTCCACTTAGTGCGATATCGGACGATATCTTCTTACAGGGTGATGCAAGAAAAAAATATATAAATTCAAAGTTGTTTGATTCCCTAAGGAGCATTACTTAAAATTATTTTTAAATATACAGGGTGCTCTGTAAATGGGGTATGCGACAGAACTTTGTTATTTTCAAATAGAACACCCTATATTTTAGTATATTCTATCGTTCTAAAAATCCTACATACTTTTTGTTGGGAATCATCTATACCAAAACTCAACCGTTTTTAAAATATTTAATATTTTTTCAAAAAATCGCAGCTTGCATGTGTCAACAAAAACCAACATATTTCGTCCATTGGAGATCCTATAAGCTAAAGCTTTTGCAGGTTGTTAGTGCATAATGTCTGTCGATTTTAATCTGATACTCCAACAGAATTTTAACTGGTGGCTCCCTACATTAGAACGCCAATGATTACTTGACGTCACACCTGTTTTTGCCATATGAAATACTCCCTCGCTCCTCATACGAAAAGTGTCAGTTTAGAAACGACGGACTTTACTTAAATTTACTTCATGGTCCTATGAAAATCTGTTAACATTCTTCTACAGGGTGTTCGCAATACTGTACACAAGACCAGACATTTCAAGCAACCATAGCACTGTATAGTAGTAAGTACGCAAGGTTGTTTGAGAGAGGTAGGTTGCCTGATAACTTTATGACGTCATCTGAGGTGCCTCAATATAATGCAATGCTGCATAAGGCCCCCAGATGCGTCATCAAGTTACCCATTACCAGACAACCTATGAACTTTAGGCACTTTAGTAGGTACGTCGTTAATCCTTTACTTTCTAGAACTTGTCTTTTGTTGAAATTTTGTTATAATTAATAAATGTATTAAAAAAAATCTTTTTCTGGGGGGGGGAGGGGTACCCCTTCTACCCCCCCCCTTTAAACCGCCCTTATGAGGGAAGTCGAATAGGGAAAACGGTGAGGGAAATCGAAGAGGGAAGTGACACAGGTAAAGTGTCATTTCCAAATTTTTAAAAAGTCAGTAATGACAAGATTACATATATGATTGCAAATAAATACTTTTATTTGCAATCATATATATTTGCTAGAAATTTAGCCAAAACTGTATACAACTTTTGTATTTACACCTTTCTTTTACCTGTGAAGTTGATTAGGATTTTTAGGTATATTCCTTATAGTCTAGCCTCTGGATATCCCATTTTGAAGAAATAATATGGATTTTTTCTCCAAACGTCAAAAAAACGTCACTTTATTAACGCCTGTTAAGGTGTCAGAAACATAGGTTAGAAACTTAATTTCTATGCTGCTAGGCAAATCTAGCAGGTTAGCACCTGTCGAGGTGGTAGAAATTTAATTTTTCTGCAAATGTCA